TCTAAAACCTGCAGGACACCGGCCCTCGAGGCCTGGAGTTCGACACCTGTGCTGTATGTGAATTTAAAAATTTCTCTGAATCACAGTTTTTAACAGTTTACATTTAATGAAATTATATTTTTCTGATGGTGTCATTCTTTTGCATCTGATGGGTCGAAATATGTTTTTTCTTTCTCTTTATCGTTGACATTGTCAGATCTTTTTAGTTTTGTGCATTTTCAACTGACTGTTGAAAAGAACTGACGGAGTTTTTGTTTCCCTTCAGGATTATCTGCGAGTCCTTTCAGATTTGTCTTCCTGTTCTCCAAACAGTTTTCAAAATAGCAGCTGGAGTAATAAGAATTATGACCCGGAGACCCAAACTTAAAGTGAAAGCATTTAACTTTAATATTTGCATTTTAAATCCAAAACTGAATTGTTTGCATTAAATACAGTTCATTCAATGTAAACGTGAGAAAACGTGGATTTTCGTCTTCATACTTCTCACTCGTCTGTTTCTCAATGAAAAAGCTAAATGACATTTCTACTCATAAATCCATCATCCAGCGTCGGTTTCAGCGTTAAAGAAAAACAAACCATATCTTCTGTCTGATCTCACATAAACCTTAAATCATACAAGTTTCCCAGACGTACAATTTAAAAAAACAAAAACACACATCTGTGTTCAGCTCGCTTTACAAACAGAAGCACAAACGAAATTGTCAAACACAAGCTGCATGTTTCTTTCTATTTACATTTTCTTAAACTTATTAAAGTGAGTCGAAGGTTAGTTTTACAAACACACATTTGCACACGTTAGCAGTTTTTATTAAACTTGGTAGAAATTTGAGCACACCCCAAAACAGGAAGTCTTTTTGCTCTTTCTCTTTATCACTAAAGCCGTCAAACATTTTGTCTAAGTAATAATTTAAAAGAAGCAAAAAAAAACCAAAACTGAGGTTTTCCAGCTGCACCGTGACCTCCCATTTTTATCTGACTGCATCTTAAAAACCCAAAGATGTGACACAAAATGCACAAACTGCTTCCTACAGCGCCCCCTACTGTGTGGATGCCGGCATCTACAGCTTATTTCTCGTGAAACGAGTTGCTCATTAATGACAACTAATATCTGTATTCAAGTAAATAAGTACAGATTTCTGAAATATTAACAACTAAGAAGCTAGATGATAAATTAGACATTTCTAAGTACAGCCGTCTGGAAAGTCAAACGTACGTGATGTGGACATTTGTGTGTTATAGTTTGTGCATCTGTGGGGTCTGATCAGTGGAAGTTTTTCATGAGCGGGCGAGCGAGAGGTTCACAGGTGTCCACGTGCCTACATGTTTTTTTTTTGTCGTCATCTACAGAGGCTTGAGAATTTACAAGTTACCCGCGCCCTTCAGGAAGACTTGAAGCCTGACAGGAATGAACTATTCTGTCTCCAGATGTTTGTGTCAGAGCGTAATCGCCTTGTGTTTCATATTTCATTTTTAAGACAGTGACCCAGCCCACACTGATCTGAAATGACTTGTATAACTGTGGCAGACTTGTGCTAGCTACATCTGTGAATGTTCTCAGTCATCCAGGTCATCGTAGTCTAAGGAGCTTGGAGGGAAACGCGTCTGGACTTCTTTAAGTTACATGTTTCACCTCAAAAGCTAAGAGCTTAAAAATCTGGGACTCTCCATCATTTGACCTTAGAACTGAAGAAGCTTCTCGGATGAGAGGTGAAACGTCTTCAAGCAACTTAAAGAAGTCCAGACGCTTTTCTCTCCAAGCTCCTCAGACTCACGTGCTAGCCAGTTATTATATCAATATTTCTTTGAATAAGAGCTGAACAAGAATGTTGACAGCTGCGTCCATCTTTGGCTTTGTGTTTCCCTGTTTGTGCAGCAGAGGCTCATTTTAATCTCGCTTCATTTCATTGGTCAAACATTGGTTAGCAACTCACTTTTTCTTCTACTTTTGTTGTTTGGTTGTTGCTGGCGATGATTTTAGTGCATTACAGCTACCTCTGGTAGTATCAGCGCAGCAAACATACATTTTTATTATTACACTTTTTTAATTAATGTGTTGAAAATGATAACCATCCCTAATGTTTTCATTGAGGTGAATATTATTAATAATAATAATAATAATACTATTATGGGGTCTTACACTTTTCTTTTCACCCTGGTTGTGAAAGCTTCCAGATCTGATTTAAAACAGTTTAGCTGTGTTTTTCTCTCTGAACTTACTTGTGGGCTGTTTTCAAACAGCTTCGTGTTAGTTTAGCAATCAAGGAATTACTTTAGGAATTATTTTTGGACATGCTGTGCAATGCACTGCATAAATAAAATAGCCATGTGCTGGCTAATTTCTTTCACACATGTATTTTTCACTTGAAGCTATAAACCTTTAATATGTGCTGTTTCCACAAGAAGTAAGCTTAATAAAATACACTTAATTTAAAATTGAAAGAATCCACAAACTTCTGCTGCACAAAGAAAACCACAGCTGCATTATTTTAAAATTTTTTTAACCTGGGCCGTGAAGAACAGCTGGAATGGGAAAATTTAGGGCTAAATTTGTCCTGTGACCTGAGCAGGGAAGAAGCTGCAGGTTTAAGAGAGTCAGATCAGCTATTCCGATTATCCGATTAATCAGAACGTTAATCTGTTGGATATGAAACTGTGTGAA